ATGATAAAAAATTCTCAGTTGATGGAAGAAGAATGTTCTGAGTAGAAAAAACATTTTAGCGTTGCCCATTAAGAATTCAAACAATATCCAAGTGTTGCAGGGTCCCTGGAAGGAGTGGTGCGGTGGATTAAATGTTGGGCTGAGGTTGGTGACTCAAACTCACCAGCTGCTCCTCCTCCGAAGCAGCTTTCTGGGGGAAAGCCGGTCTGCATGGCCTATTGAGTGCATCTTCTAGTTATCTGCCCTCACCTGGCTCTGCTTCCCTCCTTCCGAAACCTAGTTTGTTCCTGCAGCTGTCACTCCTCTGACCAGGGGCAAGGATATGAAGGATCCAAAAGGACATACCTTGCCAAGACCTTTGTTGAGGCAGCAGGAAATCACCAGTAGGGGGCACCCCAGCATGTTCCTTAGTTTTCTGGTCCCTGCTCAGGGCCAAGAGCAGAGACTCAGACTGCCTTTATGGTGCGCGGTCCTGTGGTCCTGAGGACCACGGATTTCAGCTCAGCATCACTTGTCCACTTTCTTCTGGAAACACTGAGGACCCAACCTCTCTAGTCTCTTCACTTGGCTTCCCTTGACTTTCCTTCCTTTTATCTCTTCTCTTTACTTTCTTCCTTTGTTTTTCTTCTTCTTTCACTCAGGTTCTCACGTCCACCTCTGTCCTTCCCTTACTTCATACATTTTTTAAAGGAAACCTTAGAATGTAACGACATAGCAGTCATTTCACATGTTACATCCAAGAACTCATGCTTTTACCATTTTTGTCTTATTTATGACATGCATATTCTTTTCTGACAAAAGAAATACCTGAATAGCGTAAGTTGCTCTACCCCAAGGCCCACTCCCCTCTTCTTGAGCTGACCTTCTTCCAACCCTCTTTTTTATATTTGATGTATGTATTTGACTGTGAACGTCGTATTATCTTGTTTTCGGTGTAATTTTAAAGCTCTCTATGAAATTTTATTTATTTTCTTAATTGGCATGGGGATCTCTTTCAGTTAAAATACATAGATCTAATTCATTCTCACATATGTATTTATCACACTTCATTTTCCTGTTTTTGTATTGATGGGCATGAGTTGTTTCCAACTTTTGACTCTGACTTTGACATTGTGACTTCATGTCACAATGAATATTTTTGTATATTTGTGAACATTTCTCTTGGATGAATAACTAGAAATGGAATTTCTGGATCATAAAGTGTGCTTAGATACAATTTTCTAAAATACTGATAAAATGCTCTTTGAAGTGGTTTTACCAATTTACACATTCTCCAGCAGTGCAATACAGAAATTCCCCACATGCTTCCACCACCCACTGCCATTGGATTGATTTTGATTCTGAATGACTTTACAGGACAGAGCAGAAGTGCTCTGTGGGGATTCTGAGATTGTAAATCTTTATAGGAACAGGCAGCCTCTTCTTTCTACCATGGATCTCCTGGTGGGTTCGAACCACAGACCACAAAGCAGCTCAATGCCCAACCCAGTAGGCTACTAGGGCTATTTCCACATGCTGAGAGATGCTTTCTATTGTCAAAGTTCAAAAGAAATTGCCTTTTGAATGACCATTTTTGTTTAGCTTCCATCTGCAGATCCCTTTAGGGTGAGTGAGCATCTTTACAGATGCTAATTTAAGAGTCTGTCACTCACCTCTCTCTCCTACAACCATTTGCAGTCCAGTCTGTTCTGATGCATGACGGTCCCACATGGGTCAGAGTAGGACTATGCGCCAATGGATTTCCAGTGTTTGGCTTAAACAAACATTTTTTGGAAGTAGATCTCCAGGTCTTTTTACGAAGACACTGCCACTCTCTCACAAGCCCAGTGCATGAACTGTTTGCACAAGCCTTTAGGGCAGCGGTTCTCAACCTGTGGGTCGAGACCCCTTTGGGGGTCAAATGACCCTTTCACAGGAGTTGCCTGATTCATAACAGTAGAAAAATTACAGTTATGAAGTAGCAACGAAAATAGTTTTATGGTTGGGGAGCCACCACATCATGAGGAACTGTACTAAAGGGTTGCGGCATTAGGAAGATTGAGAACCACTGTTTAAGAGTGTACATTTTTGAACCCAATTCCTGACCCCATTGATGCCTCCACATTTTTTTTTTTTAATTCTTTCCTCTGGGTTTTCCTTTTTTATTCAAGCTAACCCACCGTATTTCATCGCATCCTTCAGGGGTGTATAGGAGTTAAATGTATGGTGAAAATGAAGGACAAATAGAACAAAGAGCATAAATAACTAAAAGGAAAGTTCTTGACAGTGCTTGTGCCACACACATTGACGAAGTAAGCCCCTGAGCGCTGCAGCCCTCTCAGGTGACCCAACACCGACAGCTGCTAGGTCATCCAAAGACTACCTTGCCCACATGATCTCCCCCTTTTCCTGACAATACATTATTTTAAAAGGCACCAATATTTAGGGCTGTCTTGAAGGCAGTTCTTTTTGCAAGATACCCTAGAAGGGCGAGGTCAGTGTGTTCTCTATTAAAAACGTGAGGAGAATGACCGTCTTGGGAAAACATCTCTAAAGTGTCATAGTTTTAGCACATTTCATGAAAAACTCGGTATTGAACTTTGTTACTGTTGAGCAGGGATCCCAGGTCTCTGTGTGCGGTGGTAGGCCGAGAGGGCACACGTCCATCCTGTGTGTCTGCTGAGGGCCAGGCCGAGAGAGAGGGCGCGGAGGGCCTGCCAGGGGAAGCCACTGCCCGTCTTGCCAGTGCCTTTCCTCTGTAACAGGCAGCTTTGCTTGTGTTGGTCCCTTTTAAACAATCTTCTCTTGGGCCTCATTTTGTTGTTTTGGAGCATTTGCTTATTTTGTTTTTAAAATTGATTTCCTTAAAAAGGGGTGCCCAAATCTTTCTACCATATATCTTACCATCATTTATAAAACAATGTGTGGAAGACCCAGAGAGGCCATATTATCTCCTCAATTGATTAGTATTGTTTTATAACAAAAATTAGCTTGTATTAGTAGCAGCAGAAGTACGTTTGTTTTTAATTCCTTAGTTGGAATATGTTAAAATACAATAACATATTATGCATATTATGATATACTATATACTAAAATGTGGAAAATATGTGAGTACTCAGAATTTGTCTGTTGTTTCAAAAAGGTTTTTTTATGCTTTATTACAGTCAGGTAGATATCACTGGTTAGTTCTAATATACATACAGTTTGGGGTTTTTATAGGACCTTTGAGAATTGAGGATGAACATTTTGACTCATAAATATATTAAATTTCTATCTTAATTTCTTCCAAAAAGAGGAGGGAAAATTGATCCTGTTATAATGTTATTTGGTACCTATGTTACTATTAATTTTGTGTGATCATCCATCCATCCATCCATCCATCCATCCATCCATCCATCCATCCATCCATCCATCATCCCTTGAGTACCTACCTTGTGCAAGGGAGGCACTGTGCTATGTGCTGTGGTGTATCGTTGGAATTATAACAGTGTATCTTCAAAGAGGTTGTTATCTAAGACAATTGAATAGACAGGTATTCAAATTACTGTGGACAACAAATTAGAGTTCAGGTAATTCCATCATGTAATAATAGTCTAAAATGTTTTTTAAATGGTGAAAGCATACATCATCAAAGATTCACCACTTTAATGGTTTCTACAAATACAATTCCGAAACACTGGTTCCATTCTTCAAATTGTGCTGCCCTTTGCCTTCATTAGGGACCCCTGCTCACTGCCAGGTCAGCAGTTTGAAACCACCAGCTTTTCTTGGGAGAAAGTGTGGTGTTCTACATCCATAAAGAGTTACAGCCTTAGAAACTCACAGGGGCAGTTCCACCCTGTCCTATAGGGTTGCTCCGAATCCTCTTTGACTTGATGGCAGTGAGCTTGGTCTGACTGGGTTTTGCTCTCATTATCTTAGAGCTTCATGCCCAGGCTTTCACGTTGCCATTTTCAATGTGACCACACAAAAATAATTTTCAAAGGAGCACGGTGAGTGCTTCAAGCTGATGTACTTTACTAATTAAGATACCTTTGATGATAATTTCAATTTAGCTTTGTCTTTCCATGTCTAGAGACTTTATTGGTCGCGAATGACATAAATCTGGTAGGTGGCCTGTGGCCTCAGGGCCTGCTGGATCCAAGAGCTCCTGCAGACGTTTCAGCTTCTGTTGCTTTTTTGTCATTTTACAGCTCTTTTTCCTTTTGACGTCATTCACGTAGAGCCCTAGGCCTGCGCCATCCTTAACCTACATCTCGGAGAAAGAGACAACCATGTCTCTCCCAGCATTATTCTCTTCCATCACAGGGAAAATGCTCATTGGCATATCTTAAGTCACAAGCCAGCCTCCAAACCAATCATCATTGTCAAGGTGGAGTCGTTCTGTTACTTGAAGGGCTAGGAAGGAGTTGGAAGAGATGAGCTCCTGTCCCCAACACTGGGCACTGTGGGGAGGAGATGTTTAGGAAATGGGGGTCCTCTAAGGAGTCCTTGGTATTCTTACTTGTAAAGACATAGGAGAAGAAAGAGGGGTATGAGATGAAAAGTAAATCTCCTTCAATGCCCTGGAAGGTCGAAGGAGGGAATGATTGTTTATCTTGGAAGTGAGCTGTGACTTTCTTATATAACAGTAACATGAAGATCCATTCCTGTATCTGCCACAATATGAGTGAGACACCTTTTGAGAGGGAGTGTCTATATTTTTGAGTTAGCTTCACCTGTGTACACAGGTGCTACCTTGAAAAGAGAGGCAAAGTGAAATTGCTAGCTACAACAAGAGTGGGAAAAGATGAGGGTGAAAAATGAAGTCTGTCTCCCTGGTCAGTCATGGTTTCTTCTTGGTTGCACTCACTTTGTCTTCCTTTGCTGTATGTAAATAAAACAAAAAATATGGAGGTTGATGAACGTGAAGGAATTGCCTTGGGCACCGGGTGAGGTTGGATAGAAGTGCCTGTTCTGCCTTGCTTTTACTAAATTGCTGAGTTAAGGGTTTGCACTGTTATTTTTCTTTTGTTTTGCAGTTACATTGCAAATCAGAAAAGGTTAGAAATCATCAACGAAGATGATGTTGACGCGTATGTGGGACTGAAAAATCTGTGAGTACTCAAGACCTGCTTCCTGTATGAGATAGTTAGTTTATTGTCCCAAGCTGGCCAGTAAACACATGTGGGGTTAATTGAAGGGCGGAGGGATAGATGGCTTGGTGAGCTTCACCTTTCTAGTTCTCGGGTCTCTTGCTTTCTGATGGTGGGACCAGGGTGCAGCTGCCTTAGCCAGTTCCCTTGCAAGGCTCACTTCCTGCAAGACCTCCCTGAGGAGAAGCCACAGGGACTTACCCTGAAGCAGTCCTGGTTGCTGGAGTACCTGTGTGGAGACCCCTGAGATGCCTACACATTCACTGACTCGGCTTTCCTCCTGCAGTTGACATCATAGTGTGTGTTTGTGAGGTGGATGAGGATTTTGTGGATTGGTGTTGGACATATGGGCTAATGGGTTAATGTTGGACTTGTGGGCTTGGGCAGCACTGGGTTGGGATGTTTTCTTGACATGCACTTAACCTTTATATAAAACTCTCTCTTATATACGAGTTTCTGTGGATTTGTTTCCCTAAAGTACCCAGACTAACACACTGTATCTTGAGGTTTCTCCTGTGCTTGGTGATGGTCAGATGGGCATTTCCTGTTAGTTCTAATGTGTGTACAACTATATGTTTTCACAGGACCATTGTGGACTCTGGATTAAAATTTGTGGCTCATAAAGCATTTCTGAAAAACAACAACCTGCAGCACATGTGAGTAAAAGTGGAATCTTTTGCTTCTCAGGTTCCAGTTTGTTCAATATTTTTCTTTCTCTTGCTGTTTTCCTCCTCTGTCTAGTCTAGGTGCTCACCCTCCTCCCGCCCCCAAACCCCCCAAAACCCACAGTATAGCTAAGATAATAGCTAAGAAATATTAGCTTTGATTTGGTCAGAGGAGTCCTTTTCTTCACACTTACATTTATTTTTTATTTATTAAATCATTTTATTTGAAGCTTGTACAACTCTTATCACAATCACATACATCCATTGTGTCAAGCACATTTGTACATTTGTTGCCATCATCATTCTCAAAACATTTGCTTTCTACTT